AGCCCTGTTCTTGAAATTCACTGCATGTGGAGCAACTGGCTTCAGTGGTGCTCCAGATGAGTGCAGTTAAATTGCAGGATCAGGAGCCCATGTTTGCCAAGCTGAATAGCACAGTTCAGTGCTTTCTGTTTAGTCTTCACTGCACTGTGTTATATGAAATATTAAATCTGAAAAAAACTGCCATGTTAATGCCATGTGCCTTATGTGTTAAATTATATTTATGCACCTATTTTTGTTACTAAAATATTGCTGTTGCTGTTTGCAGTCCTTCAGCCTTGAAAACTTCTCAAGGTCAAAAGGCTTGGCAGAAAGTAGTTTTGGTCTAAAAACGTATTGGCTGAAAGAAGCATTTTGTGCCTTCTTACTGTACTAGCTAAACATATTTGAAAAATTTCTATGCAGGCAGTTATGTATTGCAAATTACTCTCCCAGTTTACCATATTTTTCAAACCACGTATAATAGTAAAAGTCTGATTTGATCCACACGAAGTTTTTAAATGACATTCTATTGATCAGTGTTAGCTAACACAATACATTGTAAAACCAATAAAAATACTCTGGAAGCACCTTTTGTGGGCACAAGCCAGTTCTTCAGATGAATGGACTTATTAAATGTCCAAAAGGGAAAAGGGGAAAAATGGTTAATTAGTGTGTGCTAGCCAGGTGATGTCTTTATTTGGCTTGTGGAATTGACCTGTTGCAACATAAGCCAAATACACAGGGAAGCCTTCGAATTTAACTTTATTTACAGATTTGGGACCCATCACAAAGGTATGAATAAAGCTATTACCTAGCTAGCACACTACCTTCCACATCCTAATGACTTAAAAAAACCAAACAAAGGGTATTTAAGAACAATTTGCATCTTCTCTATCAACTTCATGTAGCATGAACAGTATATTTATTTTAGAACTGAACCTTTATTAACTCCATTCATCTGAAGAAGTGAGTTGTGTCCATGAAAGCTCATGATACCATCTACATCAGCCATGGCCAACCCGCGGCTCGTGAGCCACATGCGGCTCTTCCCCCCCCCCCCCCCCCCGGGGGCGGGGTTTGC